ATCTTAACCGAGTAATTTAATACAACCTAAAAACCAAATTAAAACACATTTGATTTTTATACATCAGGATTTTAAAAAGACAAGAACCTGCAGACATAATGTGTCTAATGTTTTTCTTTTTCTTCAGGTGTGTGGAAGTTTATTGTTGTAGCGCTGGGGTTAACAGTACTCATAATGAGTGCTTTCATAAGCATCATATGGAAGAGAGTTAAAGGTGAGAGCTTTCACAAGACTGAGCTTTCATCACCAGGGAGACTGCAGAAACCAGGATGGACTTTCATTCTAAAAGTTTGAATTGATTTTTCTCTTTTTTAGGACACAAATCACAGATGAATGAAAATGCTGTGAGTTATAACACTTTCATGTTATATACGAGTAATGAGTCTTTCTCACTGATGTGATTATAGTCTGCTGTGTTTACGAGGCTTCTTTGTCTGTTTTATTTGTTTCAGGAACTCAGTTTAAACCCTGCAGTGACTCTGTCTGCTCCAGGAACCATTCAGGACTCTGTGAGCTCAAATACTTACTCACCACTTGTATTTGTTCTCCTGTGTGTTGAATCTAAGCATTACTGAGTAGTCTCTATGTTGTCGTATCTGTGCAGGCTGAATCTGAATACGCTGTTCCCTATTCCTCCATCAGCTACACCGACAACACCACCAGTAAAGCTCAGGTAAGCTGTCCTATTGGTTATTCAGGTGATGTCAGTTAATAACAATAAAAATTCCCATGAAAGAGCAAGGTAAATGTTGATATCTGAGTGTTAAGAATAAATATTAAGATTATAATACTATTCTCAAATCTGCCTTACCCTACATTATTATGGTGTTGATTTATTTTATTTTTTGTGTATTCACTTTCAGGTTGTGGGTCAAGATGATGATGAAGATGATGACACAGTGACCTACATCACCATGAAAAGTCACATCACTTCTGCTGTACCCTCCAGTGATCCCAGCAGCCTCTATGCTGCCGTCAGCAAACCAGTGAGAGACACGTGTTGACGAAACAGCTACAGCTCATATAAGCTTTCTTACGTTACACTGTTTATGGTTGCGCTCAGGCCCTTTTCAACCTGTTATTTGTATCAGATTGTGTAAAAATGTTTCTGTTAGGCTTAAGTTCTCCATGTTTAACATAAAGGATATTATACTGCTCATTTACATTTCTAGCACAGAATGTTTTATCCATAAATTGTCTCCAGTTTGACAAAGTTCAGAATTTATTACTGTAGCAATCCCTTTTATCCAGAAGGGGGTGCTGTATATTCATTATAACAAAATGTGAAGCAGTGGAAGAAATAATCTAACATCCTCAGACATAATAAAAGTCACATGTTAGATCATCTGTTTCTGCTTGCAGTCATTTAAACATCTATATCTCAGAACTGTTTGAGTGTGTGTTTCAAAGCTGAATTAGTTAATTATTCAGTGTTCAACAATATAGAATCACAAAGGAAAACAACAAACTGCATTTTACATTGGGCTATACATCCTGTGATTAACACTCCTCTAAATCCCTGTGCCTTGTGAAAATCATCTCTTTGGGATTTATGATTCCGCAAATTTGTTCGTCTGTGTACACTTTTCAATTGGACAAATGGGAGAGAGGGGTTTCACCCACTCAAGATGCATTTCCTGCTACTCCCTCTACTCGACGCAGCAGGAAAACTGGTATTGCACCACACAAGGAAAAGAAAAAACATGGTTTTCAAAGTGTGTGCCGCTTCATACATCTCATTGCAATTGTGTCTGTGGCGTCTGATACGAGCCCTTTTGGTTTGGCGGTGTGCGTAAACTCTGAGCATTATGATTCAGTTTCTCATATTGCAGAAGTAAATAAACTAAAGTGGACAGGACAGTCAAACCTTACTTAACTATCTAAGAGATGAATTTTAGGAGTCGCTTTAACAACAACTCTGGCTGTTAATAAATGAGGAACATGGAAGCTGTGTAAGTCTGGTTGCATAAGAATAACAGCAGAAATGTGAGAAAGAAAGCTGAAAGTCATAATGAGGAAGTCATAGATCGAAAACTACAGGAAGAAGACACACTTATGCTTTAGAAGCCTGAGAAGAAAAGAGAGACTGAGAGACATAATGGTTACATTTAGATGGATAAAAATGTTTCTGTTCTTTGTACTCATGCTTCAGTTTGGAGGTAAGGATGATTTGTACAATGTACATCGTCTTAGGATTTGAAAACTAACTCTTCTTTTTAATTTTGAGTAATATCATTTTTATTTAGCACACAAAGCTGTGGTGTTTCTGAGAACAATGAAAACTGAGTTTGATGCACTCTTGAAAAATGTAGTGTTAACATTTTTGATTCTGTCATGTTCTCAGGAGTACATAGTGGAGATCTTTCGCTCTCCTTCACTGTCAGAGATGCCGATAATGTCACTTTGCCTTGTGAAAACGTGATCAACAATCATCACAACTGTGACACTACTGCCTGGATCTTCACTGATTCAAGAGGCACACCAGCAGTAGAGCTGGTTAATCTTGGACAAATCAAAGAAACAGCCAAATCAGACAGACTGAGTGTTACAGCAGAATGCTCACTGGTTATAAAGAAGGTCACAGCTGAGGATGTCGGTCGTTACACCTGCAGACAGTTTAAAAGCAAATCAGGGGGACAGCAAGGTCTAGATGATGTGGTTTATCTGTCTGTTGTTAGCAGTGAGTATTTGCAACACCATATTTTTGAGCTCAAACCATGCTGTTAGAACAACATGTTGACAAGTTGCATTTTGAAAAAAGGAAGCTTATATTTATTTGGTCTTTCACTTGCATTTTGTCTTCACCAGTGACTGAACAGAAGAAAGCTGATGAGGTGACTTTAAGCTGCTCTGTGTGGACATATGAAAGGTGCAAACACAAAGTGAAGTGGATCCATAACAGTGAAGCTCTGGATATAGATTACTCAAATTTAAAAACATCGGAGTCTTCCTGCTCTGCTACTGTGACTTTTCTGAATGATGCATACACTCATATATCAACTTATGACTTGAACTGTAGCGTAACAACAGAAGAAAAAAAAGAGCAGCTTTTTACCTTCAGCACTCAGTCATCAGGTAAGAAACCAGGAGAGATTCTGAAGAACCTTTCAAAATAACTTCACATTAATCTGACTAATTACCTAAAATATCTGCTCATTTTATTGATTTGAAGCTGTAATTGACTGAACTTAGTTTCCTAATGAAAGGTCCACTGAATTTTATTCAGGTGAGAAATCAAATACCGCAACAACAATAAAATCAGAAACTACAACTGGAAACACAACAAAAGAGCTGGAAATCATGGATGATTCAACAAAATTACAAGGTAATCAACAATATTCAGCTTTTTTTTTTCAATATTTCTATATTTTAGAATGAAATGTTTTAATTTCAGATGACATGTTTTTTTCCTCTGTATTCATCTACATTAAAAAACAAAAACAATCAGAAAATTACATTTAAAATATTCTTTTCATGCTTTGTCTCCAGGCTCATGCTGGTACAGGCTCATCATAGTGCCTCTGGGTTTAGCAGCACTTATAGCAGCTGTTGTGGTCATCAACATCTGGACAAGAGCTGGTGAGAATGTTCACATATAAGCAAGAAGGGTTGATAAACCTGACATGAAGCTCTGAGGAAGCACGGGTTTATGATTTTGTATTTTACAGGTGTGTAAAGATGGTGAACTATGAAAAAGTCCAGTCTACTGAAGTAGTTTGACCAACCCTCCAGCTTCTATCAGAGATCACTGATCAGCACATCAACATGCTTTATATTGTTTTCAGCAGGCAGGGGTAGCTTTTGGAGGTTTTCTGGACCACAAAAATAGGAACACATGTTTAACATGTTGTTTTCTCTTTCTGCAGAGGCCTCCTGTACAGCATGGTTGTTGTAAAAAGAAATACACATACCTATATTTTTTTTTTACATCTGCATTTGCTGATCATTTCTGAATTTGGAAAACATGCTCTCACTATTATTTCCAAAACACTCCTGTTGGCACTTTAATCTTGGGTAATAGATTTCAAAGCCATTTTTCATTTCTTTCTTTTTCAGCTGCAGAAAGTTAGTTTAGAGTTTTGAGCTTAGTTTTATGAGCCTGAGCCTGGATACAAAGTCATTTGTATGTGGTCGAATCTGGTCTGCGCTCAAATGAGTTTTGATTGATGATGATGTAATCACACACACTGTAATCTTTAATGGATTTGAACATAATGCAATCTTTAAAATAAATAACAATTCTAAGCAGAAAGTCTGTTTTGCATCTCTCACTTCAGTCACTTTTGGTGTCTTGTTTCCAGTCTTTAACTCTCATGTTATTTTAAGAACAACCACTTCTACCTGTCCCAGTTCCATTAGTACACCCTATCTTCATTCATTTCTCTCCTTTGAACTCTTTGACAACCCTTCCCAGCATCCTGTGACCGGTTTGTGCTTTCATGACTACAAATGTAAATTTGGATTGGATTTTTGCCCCATCCTGTTAGCTTCTCTATTTGACTTTAAAGTACATTTAAATATGCCATTCAGCCACAACTTTGAGACCTGCCTGTCACAGTCAGGCTGCAAAGCTGACTGTGTGAATAAAGGAGGTGAACCCAAGCGCAGACACTCTAAAACAAAACTCAAACTTAACAGAAAGCGAGACGTTTATTAAGGCTGGTAAGACATTGCAAAGCAAAAGGCAGAGGTGATGCTAAACAATAACCTAAACTGGGGAAACTAAAGATACCCAAAACATGATGTGGAAACGTGATACATGACACATGATACATGGAACATGGTGGTGCAAAGGACAAAGGACAACCTGACACTGAACAAAGTAGGACAGAGGACTTCAGTACACACAGAGATAATGAGGGGATGTGGAACAGGTGGGAACACAGCTGGGACAAATCAGACCTAACGAGACAAGGAACACTGCACATAGGACAGGGACTTTCACAGTAAAACAAGAAACAGAGTGGAATCCAGACATGGCCACACAAGCTTGACAATATGAACAAGAAGACAAGAAACATGACAGACTCTCACAGATGACTTAAGTAAAACATAACTAAACTAAACTTAAGGCAACCAAATGATAATCCTATTACATAACATATTTAAAGGAATAACTTAAAGACTCAAAGCACTGCCCAAAAGCTTATCTCCATCTATACAAGGACAAGTGACCTCTGAGGAAGTTAGAGGAAGCATGACTTCATCTGTGATATCTAAAACAACTCATTTGGACTGTCTGCAGTGTTTATGTGGCAGCTTTGTGTATCCTATCTCATGTCAATGCTTTCATTAGGGAGTGTGAACATTTCATTCTGTGGATTGCATTGCTCTACTGAAAATAAATCTCTTGTAAACTGGTTCATTCATTATAGAAGGTGATAATTTATACTTTGCATGTCCCACTTCTAGTAAACTTTCCCCCTAAAAAGCACAATTGGATACTGAAATGTTTAAACGTAAAGAATCATTCATCTTCTGCAGCTTTAAAATGTCTAAAAGACACTCTGTGGTTTTTTGACCTGTGTCTGGTCGTCATTAGAGGTTAAAACCTGCAGAGTTATGCTGGTACTGTCGTATCCACATTTGTACCAAAACACTTCCCCTTCAGTTCTCAGAAAGAGACACTTAAATAAGATGTAATGAGGACGAAATTATGTACCAATGAAGTGACAACAGTTGAGCCTGTGAGTTTGTTGCCTCTGCACATCTATGCAGATTAATGTTTCTACCCTGTTGGCCTTACTTTCACGAATAAAAAAAGAGAGAATGAAATTTACAGTAATCTTCCAGTTTGTGTTTTAATGAGACAGTCTGAGCTGAAAATTATATGATTGAAGTGTTTACTATTAACAACATAGGCATGAGCCACAAAAAAAAACAATATGTTGAACTTTCTGAAAGTGTAATAATCAACACCCTCAGCTGTGAGAACAGTTTGCTGTTACACTTAGTTTAAATGTCTAAAGGACATTTAGTGTGTGAAGCGTCTGTGTTTCTGATGGTAACACTTCTACATTCTCACCAACTCTGCCCCTTCACTTCTCAGAAAAACAACACTTGACAACAAGTCACTGAGCAACATTCGGCTGTCTGTTCTACGTGCTCGTTTTAGTTTTACAGGATTTGATGGCCTGCAGTGACCTTTGACCTCTTTAATATTGTTTCGTTCCCCAGCCATTTTATAAACAACAGAAATTGTCAGAGAAAGGACTTCCTGAACAGTTAGCGTGAGATAGTGAGATAACAACCACAGGAACCGCCACAGGGAGCACGACATTAAAGTCTGTGACTGTCATTAGTGCGAGAAACAGGAAGGAGAAATACCGAGAAGCATGATGGCTGAATTCAGATGGATTCACATGTTTTTATCAGTGATACTAATGCTTCAATTAACAGGTACGAATACAGATACATTTATAAATGAGATTACAAAAGTTTACACTGAGGACATTATTATTATTATCTTCTCAGCAGATTCTGAATTGTATGAATGTATTACCTCACTAATAACAGGGAAGTTGATACATTTATTTTTCAGAAGCTCAAGAAGAAAGTGAGAAAAGAGAGACTAAGAGCAATGATGGTTAAATCTATTTAGCTTAAAGTGTTTTTATTGCTGTACCTGTGCTTCAGTTGGTAAGGATACATCCAACATGTGTATAAGAGAAAGATTTAAAAACATTTCCAGCTCAGTGCACTAGTGAAAATGAAAAAGATACAAATGCAAACATGTGTGCATAACTATGCAAAATTATCTGCGCTGTGTCATACAGTGTTAACATTTTTTTGATTCTTTGTCGTGTTCTCAGGAGCACTAAGTGGAGATCTTTTGCTCTTCTTGAAGAATCATCACAACTGTAACGCTACCAACTGGCTCTTCATTGAATCAAGAGGCACACCAGCAGTAGAGCTGGTTAATCATAGACAAATCAAAGAAGAAGCGAAATCAGACAGACTGAGTGTTACAGCAGAATGCTCACTGGTTATAAAGAAGGTCACAGCTGAGGATGTCGGTCGTTACACCTGCAGACAGTTTAGAGGTAATCCAGGGAGGTCCAGATGCTGTGGTTTATCTGTCTGATGTCATCGGTGAGTATTTACACCACACCAGACCACCAGTATTTACAAGCTGTGAACAACTACACAATATGCTAACACATTAGATATATTTTTTTTAAAAAATGTTTGTTTTTTATGAAAAAGATTTATTATAAAAAATGTTTGTTTGCTTTTTTCTTGCATGTGATCTTCACCAGTGACTGAACAGAAGAAAGCTGATCAGCTGACTTTAAACTGCTCTGTGTGGACATATGAACGGTGCAAATATAAAGTGAGGTGGATCCATATCAGTGTTGCTCTGGACAGAGATCACTCAAAATTTAAAACATCACAATCTTCCTGCTCTGCTACTGTGACTTTTCTGAAACTTCAATATAGTCAGATATCAAGTTCTGACTTTAAGTGTAACGTAACAACAGAAGAAAACAAAGAGCAGCTTTTTACCTTCAGCCATCAGTCACCAGGTAAGAAACCAGGAGAGATTCTGATGAGAAGATTATTTTGTGATGTGCGTAAAGAACTTTTAATTAGCTGAATTTGATATTTTGTTTGGGTGAATGCAGTAACATCAGCAACAACAGCAATAACAACAAGAAAAACAACAACAGCAGCAGCAGCTCCATCACAGTCTGATAACCCAGGTCCTACTGGGGTTTTTTGTTTGTTTGTTTTTGCTTTTTCAAAAACATTATTGAATATCTAACTAGTCTAATAATGAGGGAGGGGTTTGGGTTAAGTCACATGCATGTCATATTTGCATTTTTTCTACCTCTCAGACATTGAACAGTAAATAAAAGCTTCAGATATTTGTGTTCAGGTGCAGCTCTGGTGTGGCCGTACATCCTCGTGGCTGTTATTTCAGCAGCACTTTTAATCTTTGCTGTGAAACTGATTGTACTGAAGAGAGGTGAGAGAAAATCCCACATTACATATTAAAGCTGAATCTTCTCTCTGGTCAAATGTGTAACCCTGTTTTTCTTTTCTTTTCAGGGAACAAAACACAAGCCAATGAAAATGTGAGTTTAAAAATAATCTTTACTAAACATTTTAATTCTATAGATCAGAAGTGATGCAGTGGTTGGTGCAGCAAAAGATCAAGAAAAGAAAAAAGAGGGTGCAAAATTCATTTTTGCTTTGATTTTATAATTATTAACTCCAAAAATGACCTCAGCCTATGTGCGAAGTCCTTTCTGATCACAAAAAACAGACCCCATAAGCTACTGGTAGTTGGAACGTTGTGTTGCATTTTATATGTTTTATCATTTTACCTATCTATGATTGTTGCAGATATTTTAATACTCACATTTTCATGTTGCAAGTAACTGAAAGTTGCACTGAAGCAATGCATATATTTATTCAGGCCTTGACCTCCAACTCACAACTTCTGCTGTTTGAATTTGTTCTTCAACATTATAAAACTAACTTTACAACATGAGACTGTGCAAGAGATAGATTTCAAACTGAAGGGAAGTGAACTGGTGCTGTCAAACTAAGCCAAAAGAAGTGGTAACACATTTTGAGCGATAACATGACATCGTTGGCGGAGATGGGTCAGTGTAGATCCCCATGCATGTCAGAGGGCAGTAATTATGTTTTCTTTACTGTGTAGGCGGATCATGAAGATGGTGTTTCCTACATCTCCATCAGCTACACCGACAAGGCTAACAGTGAAAACAAAGTAATGCATATGATCAATGTTTCCGGCTTCATCAGTGCATTAGTAAATGATGTTTTCACTGTGTTGTGTTACATCTGGTGAAACATCCTGTGGTCTGTGTGCTTCCAGGTTTGGGGTAAATGTGACAGTGATGAGACAGATACCTACTCCACTGTGAAAGCTTCCTCCACAGATCCCAGCAGCCTCTATGCTACCATAGAGTAAACAAAAAGGAAACTTAATCATCAGGTCATTGCTTCTGTGAAAAAGCTTCGTCCCTATAAGAATATTCGGTTTGCTCAGTTTAAAAGGAGGAAGCAGCTGTGTGAGTGCTTAAAAAGCAGAATTTGTGACACATTTTGTTTTGTAACATTTGAAAGGCTTTCATTTTTATTTTATCTTTTGTTCAAAGTTTTGAAATGATGTACATAGATGTTTTTATTTTGCTTTTTGCCTGTAAATTTTCTAAAACTGCAGTAATTTATAAGTTTAGTTTCATTTTTTCCATAAACAATCATTCAAACATTTGTGTCTCATTACTGTAAGCATCAAAAGCAGGATTAAATGGAATCAGGCATCAGAGTGGGAGGATATGTCTTTACCTGTATGAAAAACATAATTTTACATGAATGAATGTGAAAGTTTTATTATGTTGGTTGCATTTCTCTACTGAAAACAAACCTTCCCTCTGGTGAGCAGGTTTTTTCACAAAGGGCTTAAACTTATCTAAATGAAGAAATTCAGTTCAAGACACCTGAGACTGATCATAAATCAGGACACATACATATGAGAGTTAAAGTGAAAGGAGACAATATCCACTGGAAATTTAGAATATCTAAAGGACACACAGGCTACACACACAGTAACATTAAACTGCTCTGTGTCCACATATGAAGAATACACCTTGGGTGTTTTTTAACCACAAGGGTGTATAGACAAAATACAACAATAGGAAACCCAACAACAGTGTTTTCAGTTTGGAATTATATTGGATATTATATTATTTAGATTTATATATTATATTTTCTATTATATTTTCTGTTCTGTCCTTTTTGGCTTGTTCTCTTTTATTTACAGTTTTATTTTTGTTGCCTGCACTTTCTAATAAATTTCACTTCCTTTGTATTTGCCTCCTTGATTAGTTGCAGCAGTGTTTGTTTTCCCATCTAGTTTACCTTCCTTCATTACCTGTTGTGTATTTAAACACACGTTTCTACTGGAGTGTATACTTGCTTACTCGATTAGTTGCGGTAGTATTTGTTTCCTTTTCATTTCCTGTGGGTGTAACCACTCATTCTGTTCTAAGCTTACTGTCTGTCTGCTTGTGAGTTTTCCTGTTGTATATTCAGTTTTGTTGGGGGCTGAAGTTCCCCATGTAACATTCTAATTTTATTCATTTATTTTTTAACCAGTTTCGTTTATTTTTGTAACAATTACTGTTGTCCAGAAGGGGGTGCTGTATAATAATTGCAAGAAACTAAGCTACCAAATAGACACATACACTAGCTGGTTTAAAAAAAAATACAAAAGAAAATGAAGAACTTTTTTTTCATATTTTATTTTTTCATAAATGAGTGTTCTTTATGTAAATAAGATGCCAGTGATGTTTCTTTAAGCAAAGCAAATTAAAATTGTTGCAGTCCAAAAAATGAAAAAATAAACATCCAAATTCAAACTCTCTCAGCTTAAGTATGCCATTAATCTGCACTCTGAAAAGTAATGGTGACATTTCTACTTCTCTGGCATATTCTCAGTAGATCTTTCTCTTTCCTTTACTTTCAGAGATGGAGATAAAGTCACTTTGGAGGAAAGGAATACAAAGGAACAAAGGAAATAAAACACAAGACAATGCACACATGGAACACATACCAAAATAAGAAATGAGAAAGCTAAACAGGGGTTCTAGTTTCAGTCATTATGCAAATCCAGTGTTATAAGGATGGGGAAAGGATGAGACTAAAGCAGTCACTTGGATGAGTGGCACTGAAAATGTGAAAACCTGCCACTGCATCCACATGAACAGAACTAGCTTTTACACTAAGGGAGGAATAAAGCCAAAGCAACTAGGACCTGAGAACTAAATACACAAAGGACTACAGGAAGTTAATATGAATATCATACAAACCAGGAATCACAATGAATATTTAAATAAACAAAACTCAACATTTTTTTTAGGTTGCAAGAAAGTAAAGCAATCTAAAATACGAAATATTCCCACTTATGTTTATTCTGGTCATTTGTGGATAACACCTCCCCCGCTCTGCTGCTGCTAATTAAAAATGAATTAAACAAGCTAAATCATTAAGAGCAAAGTCTTGCTCACCATCACCAACATGGATTCTGTTGTTTAATAAACACTGAACAAGCAATATGAGTTTGCACAAGACAATTGGTACAAATACATACTTTGATATATGGCAGTGGACAGGAAGTGTGCTGTGGCTTTAGTGGAGATAAAACTCTACAACACATTATTTAATATCCTATAAAATTACTCTTATTTACCTCCACCAAAATTAGTAAGACTGCAGTGTCAGTTTGGTTGAGAAGGGGTCTACCCATTTGAAAAACTGAGGGAATTCATATGATCTACATTAAAAAAATAAATACAAGAAATAACCATAACATTAAAAATAACCACAGCCTGAATGAGGAGGAGACAGGAAGTAAACTAGATAGGCATGTGTCTTTGACAAGTACAGCAGAGTTTGCCAGTTATAGATGTGACAAAATGAGAAGGAAAACCAGAACAAAACATGATGATTGAACACAAATTCTTCAACATTTCTCTGCTTCTGTTGCTTCTTTTTTCAGGTAAGGAAACCTTTATTTACACCTAAAACCGTTTTGCTATTTTACTTAATCTCAACAACAAATTTCAAACACACATTTTCAGATATGAAAATTAATTAGCTTTGCAAACCTCTTCCTACTGTAACACTTTATCAGCATCTAACTTACTGAATAGATTATTGTTAAGATTAACAGATGCATTAAGAAGTTTTTAATAAGACGTCTGATATTGATAAGTATGTTCAGTTACAATAGTCACCAAACTCTTGTTTTGTCTCAATTATTAGGTGTAATTTCTACATCAATTTTCTTTTACCTACTTTAGCTTTTATGCTGTGATACTCTCTGTTTGCTTTCTGCATTTATTTTTATATTCCTCCTTTGGAGTCTTTGTGGAGCGAATCAGCTGAACTTGTTGTTTTGAACTGGTTGTTAAGACAAAGCTGAAAGTCTTTATGAGGACATCATGATTCACTAATTAAAGGAAGCTCTCCGTGTATCTAGATGTATTACAAGGTCTGTGTTTTTTTATATTTGTGCTTCAGTTTGAAGGTAAGGATACATGTAACATGTAAGAGATTTTTTTCTTCTTTTGAGTTTTACTTTATTTTGAAATCCAAGACAGCTGTGCTTTTGTTTGACAACCCAAATCAAGTTTTTTGTTAGTTCTTTTGTAATAAGAATGTAAATCGTCTCCGTTCAGACAAGTATTGTTTTTTTTTCTCTGTTATATTCTCAGGAGATCTAAGTGGAGATCTTTCACTCTCCTTCACTGTCAGAGATGGAGATAAAGTCACTTTGCCTTGTGAAAACGTGATCAAAAACCATCACAGCTGTCACACTACCACCTGGCTCTTCACTGATTCAAGAGGAAAAACAGCAGTAGAGCTGGTTAATCTTGGACAGATCACAGAAACAGTCAAATCAGACAGACTGAGTGTTACAGCAGAATGCTCACTGGTTATAAAGAAGGTCACAGCTGAGGATGTCGGCCGTTACACCTGCAGACAGTTTAGAGGCAATCCAGGGAGACAGCAAGGTCCAGATGCTGTGGTTTATTTGTCTGTTGTTCGCAGTGAGTATTTACACCACAATATGTTGGAGTTCAAACTGTGTTGTTAGAGCAACATAATGAAACATTACATTTAGTGAAAAGAAATGTATTCATACTTTTTAATTCTTCTTGCGTTTATCTTCACCAGTGACTGAACAGAAGAGCAGGGATCAGGTGACTTTAAACTGCTCTGTGCAGGTACATGGACATTGTGAACACAAAGTGAAGTGGATCCATTACAGTGAAGGTCTGAATAGAGATTACTCAAACATAAAAACATTACAGTCGTCCTGCTCTGCTACTGTGACTTTTGTAAATTCTTTATACAGTCACATATCTAACTCTGACTTTAAGTGTAACGTAACAACAGAAGATGACAAAGAGCAGCTTTTTACCTTCAGCCCTCATTCATCAGGTAAGAAAGGAGGAGAGATTTTAATGATTATGATAAAATTTTGAAAGTAACTTCACGTTATCTGCTTATTTTAACAACTTAAAGTTTTAACTGACAGACAATTTATTAGTGAAAGGTCCACTGAATCTTCTTTTTTTCATTTAGGTGAAGAAACAATTACAACAACAACTGTTAAATTGGAAATCACAATTGAAAATACAACAAGAGCAGGTCTGGGGACAAAAGAGTTGGAAAGCATGGACGGTTCAAGAAAATTAAGTAATGCCAACTTGTCCTCTGTATCATTTTTCCTCCACTTTCTAAATTTCAGAATGAAAAGTTTGAGGTTTGTGTTGTGTGTTTTGCAAAGAAAAATACATTTAAAATATGCTTTTTGTGTTTTCTTTATCTTCCCAGGCTGGTCCTTGTACAGGCTCATCATTGTGGCTCTGGGTTTAGCAGCACTTATTGCTGCTGTTGTGATCGTCAACATCTGGATAAGAGTTGGTGAGAATAATCATATATGAACAAGATTTTGTTTGTGGAAGCTAAAGTTGACTCCTTACTTGGTCCTTTTAGGGGAAAAAGCACAGATGGAGGAAAACACGGTGAGTTTGTTAACTTTTTTCGGACTAAGTATACACAATAAATAGGCGATCACACTGAATTTTGGATAAAACTGTATTTTCTGGCTCATGAACAAGTAGAACCCATCAGGATAAAAGAAAATCTTTACTTTGTCGGCTTATTAGTCTGATTGTGCTAAATGCAAAATGCAGTTACAGTTTTAATGACGTTCATTATTCTGTATTTTACAGATGTGCAAAGATGAGGTTGATGATGGAGCAGTGAACTATGAAAATGTCCAATCTTCTGATGAAGTTTGACCGACCCTCTTGCTTCTGGCAGATCTCACATATCAGCACATCAATGTGCTGCACAGTACATTTCTTTTTACCTTCATACTCAACCTTTTAAACAGAGACTCGTGCTCTTGCTTCAGTCACAGTTTGGATAACAATACTGAAACTGTGATACTCTCCTACTTTGAAAACCAAAGTGACTTTTATAAAAATAACTTCCTGCATCAGCTGTAAAAAGCTTCTTGTTTTGTTTTTTGAAGTGACCAGTATTTTTAATGGTTTTTCAACATTTATGTGTTTTGTCTCAGAATCTTTGAGGACAGCCTGGAAATTTTGTTGATAAACTAGGATAAAGTTTTCTCCCCGATTCAAAAATTTACCAGCCATTTTCTCTCTACCTTTCTGTTGTAGCAGCAGAGGCTAGAGCTTAGTTTTATCACTCTGTGTGAGGAAGAGCTGATTTAATCAGAACTAAATTAGCTTTTTATCATTAATGTCAAAGTGCTGTTAAGAATCCAGTCTGTACTTCAGTCAGCTTTGATCTAACACCACACATTGTTATCTCGATTTGAGCATAATGAAATCTATCAAATAAATAATTCTTTCTGAAGGAAAGAATTAACGGCCTTAACTTGTTGGTTAAGGCCAATTGGGACCCTTTAGTGACTTCAGCTTGCTGATCGAGGATGAATGGACTTTTATTGTGGCTAGTTTGTCTTTTATTTATTTCATTCACCTTTGAGGTTTTTTTTATTTTATTTTTTTTTATTACTATATTAACTGGGTTCTACATCTTTCTGCTTCCGTCTGCTTCCCTGCTGTTCCCCCTTTTAGAAAGGCTTTCCTTCTAGTGTACACCCGTAGTCAACAGATCAAAGAGGAGACTTCAAACACACAAAAACTAAACAAAAAATACAACTTTTTATTCATTTATTTTGTTATAATTTTGACTTGAATGTAGCTCATTTTCATTAGAAAAAAAAGAGACTTGAGAGAAATGCATTTTTATGAAAGTCAGGCATTTTGATTTAATACTCACATTTTATTTTGATTGCCACACAATAGCTTCACTTGTTCTAAAGGCTCACCAGCTTTTACACATTTCCCTGAGCGATGGCTTTCTCACAAAGTTTACACATGCAACCCGGACAGGTATTATGCCTTAAGTCACAGCTGCAGACTGAGACTCTCGTCTCTGTCTCAGTGCTACTACACATATTTGATGGACTAACAGGTTGTTGCTTCATCTCTTCCATCAGGAACAGAGCCCCCCGGGCTCTCTCCCAGGGAACTGCAGCCACCGCTGAACAGCATCATTCCAAAGTCAACAAGCTTTGCAATAGCTTTAAATGTCTGCATTAAAATGGGAAAGTCTGACACCATTATCCTCAGTCAAAAATCCTTTTTGAGCTGCTGTTTTTCCTAGTTAAGCCTAATTTGTGTGCTCAGGTACATCCAATGTGTTTTAATAAACATATCTGTGACAAAAGGGATTCTGCTCTGTACAAAAGTTTAAAAAAAAAAAAAGTAAACATCTGTCATTTCAGCTATATACAGTATAGTATATAGAGAGACGAGACTACGAGGCTCCAATTACATCAGTGCAAAAAAACAAATAGATATAAGAACAGTAAGAAAATAGATATACACTTTGTACACTAAATATAAACAAAAGTACGTCTTTGTGTTTCCATTTAAACAGAAAAAAACTTGACACAGAAAACAGACAGATGAAATGGGATGGAGAAGGTGTACATAAATTATACAACATACCACAGTACATTGCACATAAATATTGTTTCTATAAAACACAACATATTTTGTTTTGGACAGCTCTGATAATGTAAAAATGTTTTAGAGATCCTATATTATTTGAAAGTACGTATTGTGACTCTGTGGAAAGGCATCAGAATCAAGGAACTAATGTGAGCAAGAAAACACCGTCCCGTACTGTGGTTGAAACTTAAAATAAGCTGTGGTCCATTGACACCAAAAGTGATTCGGGTGTTACTCCACCTGTTTATAATCTCTCACACTCAATAAAATATGTTAAACAGGGGCAATGTTGCAGTGACACCAAACTCCTTATTATGCAACTTTAACCTGTAACGTGCAGTTTACCTGCATAAAATGGCAAGAAATTGGTTTCACATGCTATGTGAAAGAAAACTAAGCTTTTAAGAAAACCGACTCATATAGTACTAATAGTAATAAAGATGAGCAGGATTATTTGCTACTTATACAACAGTCAGCAAGCTACTTGATGACATTTTAGAAATCAGTTCTTAGTTAATGACATCGTCTCCCATCTTCTCAGTTATAATTATAGAAGATGTGTCTCTGCATGACATAAGATGGAGTGTAAGGAGCTCCCCCAAGAGGACCCAAACACAGGACAAACACCTCAAACCAACTGTCAAGCATGCTGGTTCAAGGATGGTGATGTGAGCTCGTCCTGCAGCCACAAGAGATGGGCACCTTGCAGTCGATGAGCTCCTCTGTATGCCAAAGTTTTCTAGAGTCCAAAGTGAGGCTGTCTTTCTGACAGCTAAAGCTTCTCCTAAATTACACCATGCAACACGATAATGACCCCAAGCACCGCAGCAAATCTAAAGCATGGTAGTCCAGTCCTCAACCTGACTGAAATGCTGTGTTTAAAGGAATGCTTGCAAATGTCAATTAATTTAAGCAGCTGAAGTTATTGCTGCTAACTGCTGGTTCTGTAAACTAATCATAGAATGATTGCAATATTGAACTAAAACAAATGCCTGAATCCTAAATTGTGGATCTCTCATGGTGGTAATCAAATCACTAAATGTGATTCAGAATTTTTTCTTTTGTATATATTATTTTACATCCAGCGGTTAATAAGAGAGTAGATATTTTGATTATAGTTAGCAAAAATTCAGACTAAAATCTGGATTTAGATACATAAAAGCCTCTTATTCATTCTGTGCCTGGCGCTTGCATTTCTGTATCGTCACATACGCTAAGCCCAGTTTCTCAATGATTGCCTGACACTGTTCTGGTTAAGTGATGAAAAACTCAGAGGCAGGTTTCACCCATAGCAGTGGATCTGTGTTGAATCAGCAACTTGCAAAACTAAATCAAAACATGGACTATTGATTTAAAACAGAAATTGCAACAAAGTTCAACATTTACTACATTTACGCAATTAAATCACCTGAGCAGCTTTACTCATGAAATTATAACAGTAAGCTGAATTTATATGCAGTGAGATTTACTGATCAATTACCAAAGGAAAGATTTATGCCTGTAAAGAAGAGGACTCCCTTACTACTATTTATATTAGGGTGTTTAGGCAAATGTTTCCCCCAGAGGTCCAGACACCATTTAAAGGTTCTGGGAGAGGCCACGGGTTAAGGGAGTGTGGGGAATCCTTTGTCCTTGGGTTTTTATGATAATAGGTATGGTGTCAGATTAAAGTGTAAAATATTTAATAATATGAAAATGTAAAATGTATTCATGAGTTGATGTGTTGTATAATGTGGGACAAGGTTGGGATTTAAGAACTTACCTGTTAGTGGAATAATGGTTTAGCCTGTGACAGCTGAACGTATTTAAGGCTGCTAGTTGTCAGTAGATGTGTGAATTGTTTGTGAGGAGAGCTGCATGAAGATTAAATACTTTTTATTCCACTAGTTTGTCTTGGTCTGCCTCACTGTAAAGCCAGCCGCAAACGGCCGCCCTGTTACAATGCCATAAAAAAAGATTGTCATGAAAAGTAGGTGGCATCTGATCTACTGTAACCTGTTGAGGAAAGCTGTCTTTCCAGCCCCGCACTCTGATTTTTCTTTTCTTAAAAAAAACAAACAAAAAAACATATGTTTTCAAAGTTATTTGGTTACAAATGTATTTTGGAAATATTGAGCAGTGCGAAAACCTGCACTGATCTGACCTAATTTCTTCCTCATCCTGATTCCTGACCTGGCTAAGGTGGTTCTGGCATCTGACAAGGATTCCTTCTGA